CTGACGAAACCTGCATACCAATGAGCCCATGTGACAATCTCCAATTTAGGGCCAGGGAAGGTCAGCGAGATCACTCATTGAACCAGCTCTTCTGAAGGCTCTGCTCGCTGCTGGTTAACAGGCAGAGCTGTGTTAGGGCTGGGGCGGGCCCCTCCCGCATCCTCAGTGCCTGACCGGGGACCTGAGGCCTCCAAGTTGCTCACATCTCCATGCTTGTTCACAGAAACCACAAGAGCTGCCCCAATAGGGCAGAGCTGGGGGTGGGAGAGGAGATGACAGGGATACTAGTGGAAAATTCCAGAAGAGAAGAGCAGCAGAGTGAGAAAGTGCTAAAACAACTCTGAGCCTGATGCCTTAGATCCCTTTTTCCTAGAATCCTTAGCTCGTGGCTCAGAAGAGATAAGTAACTTACCTAAGAGCTTGCCCACCTATTAAATGGCCACACTGAGCTTTGAATTTAGATCTTTCTCACATCTAAATCCATGTTTCTTCATTAGCTCAGGCTGCTTCAAGGAGGGGAAGGAATAGCCAGGGCCAGAGATGCAGGGATGTGTGAGGAAGAGGCAGGGGTGTGGGGATGTGTGAGGAGGAGGCAGGGGTTCGGGGAGAGTATGAAAATGGTAAGCAGAGGCAGTGTGGAGAAATCCAGCTGCTCTGGACCATGGCAGCCCAGAAGCTGCTGGGGATGTGGCAGAGGCTGCCTCTTGGCTACTTGCTCCATCCCCCGAGTGCAGAGCCCGCCAGAGGTCCTGGCTCCACGTGCAGCTCAGGATCTGACTGGAGTGCTACACAGTCATGCAGCAAAGCCTTCCTTCAGAGAAGTGGGGCCCATGGGTGCTGTGGTCTCTAATCTGCATTCAGGCACAAGGGAGGAAATAGTGTTGCCCTCGGGGCAAAACACCCATTCCTGGCCTCCCGTGAAAGACAGGAAAGTCCACAAGGTCATAAAGAGCTGCTTTTGTTGCTTCATTAGCCTGAGCTAATGAAGAAACATGAATCTAGAAGCCAGAAAAATCTGTCTGATTTTCATAGATCCACACAAGCCAGAAGCTTCTCCTCCAGCCAGGGGCAAAGGTTCTCATTAGTTCTCCTCACCACCTGGCCAAGGGTGGGCCCCACAAGTCGTTCTAACCATGATGGATACATAATTTGTAGGGCCCGGTGCAAAGGGAAAATGCAGGGCCCTTGCTCAAGAAGTATTAATAATTTCAAGACGGCAATAGCAGAGCCTGAAACCACGCATGGGCCCCTTCTGCGCCCACACAAGTTGCAGACCATGGAGCTGGCCTGGGCTCCAGTGCTCCAGGCAGATCAGAGCAATGCTCAGGCTGGGCATGCTGGGCACCCTCTCTAACAGAGGCGAAGGGACCTGCTGCTCAGGATGGCCAGGCAGAGCCTTATGTAAACCTAGGGCCTGTACACAGGGTCCTCCAGACCTGAAGCTGAGGGCACCTCTGACTACAAGGCAGATAACAATAACCTATCACCAGTTACAGGAAAACACTCCACACACAAGATCTCCAAGTTCAATACCAATTCAACGCATATCTATTCAGTACCAGCTCCATGGCAGGCACTGTGCTGGGGCTGAGGAGGCAGGGGAACAGGACACACACAGTCTCACTTGGTCTTCACCAGAACCCCTCAGAGAGGTGGGAGCCTGCAGCTTAAGAGGGGAATGAAAAGTGAGGGGGCAGGGGTTGTGCAAGCATTCCAGGTTGGTGGCTCTGACCTCTGGCTTCCCTCTGTGGCTACTGTAAGGCAAGTAGAAAACACTAATGAACATTAACTCACTAATTAATTCTTCATTTTCTCTTTTAAAAACCTTTTAAAAATTCAATTTTGATTATCCCAAAAATTTCCCTTGTAAAAATCTAATAAGCATCCCAAATAAGACTCCCTTAGACCGCACTGCTAATCCCAGGCCCCTCTACTGGTGCCACGAACAGAACTTCTCCTCCGTAATAGCAGAGATATTGAGTATATACTCAATATACAGATGATCATTTTCCTGTTTAAGCTCAATTATGTCACACTGTACAAATAATTCTAAGCCCTGCCTTGGATTCGTAAAGTTAACAGTCCATGTTCTGGGCATTGTCCTTGCTGTTACCTGTAGGTCTGCTCCATTCCTATCGCTACGACCTGGAGTCCCAACCCATGGATCTGCCACAGTCTCACTAGCCTTTCCCGGACAGGTAGACCTTCAGGCAGCTTGTGGAGTTTTGCTAAATCAAGCAATGCTGCCTTATGGGACAGGCGAGCTAGTGGTCCTGTAAGCCGAGGCAAAACATGGAGCGGACAGTTGGTGGGGTCCGTGCTCTTCAGTGTTACAAGCTCCTACATGTGGCTGCACCACCAGTCTCGTTTCCCCAGGCCTTACCCACACGGGATACTATCATCGTCATCATCCATCATAATTATTTTGCCAACTGATTGATAAAAATAGTATTCTGCTGCTTCAATTTACTGTACGGTGATTACCAGTAACACTGAACGTCTATTCTTTGTAACTCCACTGCTATCAGTGGACTGCTCATCTCTTTTGCCCACTCTGCTGCTTTGCGGGAGATCGATAGGGAGGAGTCTTTATTGTGATTTTTTGTGACTGATGTGGAGGAGTCCTGTCGCTGTCCTAGATACTGGCCCTTCGTCTGCTGCCTTTATTGCAAACATTTTCTTAAACATTTCAAAACGAGAGACACTGCTTTCTGAAGTCTCCAGCCCTGGAAATGGTACAAACCCAGGAAAGGCTACTAACGTGCCTGCAGCTGGGGTCTGTGGTACACCCCGCACCCCCCCCCCAATGCACTCCTTACTTTTGGAAAAGCTCCAGTGTCCCGACACACTGGATGCTGGAAACCCCATGAGGGGGACGCTCAGGGAGCAGCACAGCCCGGGGCGCTTCTGACAGTAATCGTTACCAGGTTCAATTAACTGCTCCCCAAAAGCAAGGCTCGTTCTCTCCAGCCAGTGAACCCTGACATTCAGACACCACGATTAGAAGCAAAGAATAAATTGAAAGCATATCCTCACCGCCACGTGGAATAAATCGCAAAGGGCAGCACTAATCATATTTTTAAAGCTATAAGCGAATTATAAAAACAAAGACAATGGACAAAACTGAGGGTGATGTCTAAGGCTCTCAGTGAGGTGGGACACCCACCTGCTGTGAGGAACACAGGTAAGGACACATCTCTCACCACAGTGCCTCCCGGACGTCTTTTCTTCCCTGATCCCCTGAGCTTTGCTGCCCTATCTCACGTCCTGAAAGAAGGGCCCAGGGCACTCCTTGCTCAGCGGCCTGAAGCTCCCTGTGTAAGTAGTCACTAAATCCTTACCTAGGTGTGCCTGTCCGCAACCCTCAGCATAAGCACACAGCAGGGAACAGTTACCTCTCTCAGAACAGCAAACACACCAACAACAGCCCCCAGCCCCCGCATGGAGGCCCCGTGTGCTTTCCAAACCCAGAGCTGGTCTGTGCCACGGCAGGGAAACGGCCATCAATAGCGTGAATCCCATCAGCAGACACTCCAAGGGACCCTACAGCCCTCATTGCTGAAGAGCCATGTCACCTGCTCTGCCTTTTTCCTATCTTTAGTCCATTAAACTTACCGGCAATAGAAAAAAAGGCAGAGCAAGGAAGCAAAGAGAGTACAGCGTGTCTGACTCTGTGTCAGGCCCCTCCTGGTGTTGCTGGCTCCCTGGCCCCAGTCTCAGAGGAAATATTCTAGAATCTTTTCCTTTGCAGGTAGATTCAAGAAAATGATGAACCGATTAACCAATTAATCCACAAATAGTCAGGCCCCTTTCGTATATAAACGCTTCAGATTCTAGATGCTCCCACACACCACCACCAAGCTCTCTGCATGATCATTTCACCTAAGGGCTGTCTTGCTTCATCTGAGAGCACAGCACCCCGCCCCAACCCCAGGACAGTACCACGGGGATTGTAAAGGGTGACTTCCGGGAACATAAGCACAGTAAACTCATACTGCAGGAGACAGTGGTGTAGCCCGATATGCAAGAAAATAAAAACCACACCTACCTGACTCCACTGAACTCAACCTGTCCTTTGACAGTCCGTGTGCTTTTCAAATTCCTCCCAACTTCCAATCACCCACCAATACCAGGTCAAAGAAAGACCTGGGAAATAAACGTTCACAAAGGCTGCTTTCTGGGAAGTATAATATTTAAACACTATTCATGGAATCAAAACCAGTTAATTTCTGATCTTAGGTCTGCCACATCTTCCCATGTGACTTGGGGTAATTTATTTAACTTTTCTGAATGTTGGCTGCACCACTTGTGAAGTGAGGGCAATAAGAGTATGTGCCCACCCCGCCAGATTGGTGCCAGGATTAAATGTGATAGTCATAGCCCTCCGAATCCTACCTCACCTGACAGCCTAAAGTTTAGGGCACACTTTGTAACGCTAAGTCAAGATCCTCTAACTCCTCTCAAATGATGGCCTGAAACAGGATGTGGGCCTGGCTAGGATGTGACTGAGATGCAAGGTCAAACCCTGCCCTTGGGGTTGGGGCATGTGAGGCCTGTAAAGTAAAACTGAGACAGTTCCGAACCAAGAGAATTTTGCTGATTTTAACCAAATAGCTAATGGTGTCTTTGAAAGATGAATGAAGAAGGCCCCAGACTTCAGCTATCCATGTTGCTGACATTTCTAAGAGCGTGGTGGTTATTTCTGGACACTTACAGGGGAGGGCGTGTCTCCAGAGTCACCTGCCCTACAGTCCAATGTCACTTTAAGTCAGAAGCTTCCAGAAAAAGTTTGCACACAAAGCCAAAAAGAAGTGTAGAAAATAATAAATGGCTGGTATTTAATAATGAAGACAGAATGCTTAAGGCAATTACAAGAGATTTCCTTCAAAGCCATTAACGAAATAGAAAGAGGAATATAAAGCAAGTCCTAACAGAAGTCTCTTGTTTGTGTTTCTCCTCTGACACATAAAGGAAGCTGTTTAAAACAACAATGAGCCCTGGCCATTGTGGCTCAGTGGTTAGAGTGTTGGCCCACTGCCCCAAGGGTCGTGGGTTCGATTCCCGGTCAAGGGCATGTGCCTAGGTTGCTGGTTCGATCCCTGGCCCTGGTGAGGAGGAGTGCGGGAGGCAACCAATTGATGGGTCTCTCTCACATTGATGTTTCTCCCTCTCTCACTCTCTTCCCCCTTCCCCTCCCTCCCTCCCTTCCACTCTCTCTGAAAAATTAATGGAAAAAAATATCCTTGGGTGAGAATTAACAAAAACAAAAAACAACAACAATGAAACCAAAGGAACAATTAGCTGGCCTAGTGCTCCCAAACTGGCTGATGATTATGAAGGGAAACTGTTCCAGGTCTTCTGCTTTCTCTGCCTCCTTAGATAGAAGCCTCTCCCAATGTCACACACGCCCAGGAGAAGACAGGAGCAGCCAAAGTTGGTTTGAGTTCAGCCCCTAGGTGGACAAGAAACACCCAGTCCCAATCCTGTGGCCCCACGGCATGCCCAAGAGGCTTGAAATGGCTCCGGTTCTGAGCCTGAGCAGCCTTCCTGCTGCGAAGTTACCATCAATTCTGCTAACGGCATCGTATTTTTTCTCTTTGGCAAAGAATGCTTTTAACTTCCTTCCAAATGGGTATCTAACTCTTGAGATAATCCTTCATTTTTTTCCTTCAGTCATTCAGTCCTTCCTCAAGTAGTCACTGAATGCCAGTTGTGTGCCTAAGCCCCAGTTACACCATCGGTAAACAGATGTAGTCCCTGCCCCAAAGAGCTCAGTCCTCAAAGGAGGCGGAGACTAAGTATGCAATTATAAATGCAACAGGCCTCTTGGTTTTGCAAGAGTATTGGCCAAAACAATGATCACAGTGATAATAAGGGTTGCCCTGAACCAGGGTCATCTTCTCCAGCAGACAGTGTGCTCAATACTTCATGCAGATAAACAAGCCCGGGGAAGCCCGACACCCTCATAGGAACAGCATCGCCTTCTTAACATGAAGAGGAACCTGAGACTCCAACCGGCTGAGAAATTTGCCCGGATCTCACCACTGGGAAGCAAAAAGAGCCAGAACTTAAATTTGTGTTTTTCTGTCTTCAGAAGACATTCTCTCAACAGCTAGTATCTACCTCATCCAGAACATTAATCAGCAAAAATAATGAGACATAACGAATCCTCTTTTATTTCCTTGTAATCAGAGGGCCATTATGACCAGATAAGAGCTGTCTGTGGCCCACCAGCCTCTTGACCTGGGTTTCAGAAAATATTACTATTAAGCCGCAATTCCTCCCTCTCTCCCCCTCTGGTCTCGCTCCTCTTTAATCAGAACCTCTACATCTCAGCCAATCTTGCGTAGGACAAGATGACAAAAGGCTTTAAAGCCCAGGAAAAAAAATGTTTCATGGTGACTCTATGCTGTCAGCCCCCTGAAACCTCTTAGGAAGAAAGATAAATTATGAATACACTTATATGTATGACCTAATCACTTCCAAATAAGTCAAGGCAAAGGTTTAATTGGGTCCCGAATTTCTTTAACTATACAGTGAACTAAGGTTTGGAGTAAAACAGTCATTTCAGTTCCAGTTAACTTCTTAAAATTCACACAAGTGTCCTTCTATGTTATTTATAAGATTCCCTTTGAATCTAAAAATGATAAAAATTATTTGCGGGGGGGAGGGTCTATGAGTGATCCAATTAACCAATCAGTCCTTGAAGTTTCCCCTTTTCAGTATTAAAGCAGGAAGTTTACATGTATTTGGAGGGAGAAAAGAACAGGGAAATAATTTTGTTCTCAAGAGGTGTTTCCCTTAGGACAAGGCTATGTCTGCAGAAGTTGCTGGATTTCCTAAAAGAGTGCACGCACCCCCTACAGAAAAACAACTGCTCTCTTTCCATGTAAACAAATCACAATGTCATAGTTCTAGATCAGGAAGGAAAATCACGCCCATGCCACCCCTCATTTACCTGAGGGAGCAGGAAGCCTGAAAGGAAGCCTGGCTTTCCCAAGGTCACATCGAGGATTAGCAAAACGTCAAGGCACCTGGCTACTCATGTAGCACTCCAAGGACGAAATCTTTTTTTTTTCGTTCTGTTAATGATGACTAGCTTGAGAAAGGGCTTATTTTTCAAGGTTGTTTGTTTAAATGTTTTATTTTGCCATGAACAAGTGAAATGTAAATTCTAGGATTTTTCACGAGACGCTGACAGTTATGACATTTAAAGATATTCTAAGGAGATGATAATGTAAGACGTTCACTTCCTGCTAGATACAAAGATTCAGATATGACCTCAACTCACACCCATTTGTACTGTCAAATACTCATTCCCAGAGGCCGATTATGTCTCCCTCCAAATTCCTGCTTGTACTGGGAGAGGCTGCCCCTGCCACAGACATGCCGTATCTGTAGCTCTCACTCTGGAAGCTGGGAAGGTGGGTGGGAAGCTGCCCAAGAGGGGAATCCGCATTGCAAGAGCTTGTTTCCCTTTTAATTTTTCTCCTTTCTAATTTTAAAGATGTTTTCTCTATAAGCACATATCTGTTTAATAAAATAATATGATAGCTATTCATTTAATATAATATTAAGTATAATTACCGTGTTCATAATTAATTAGTATATTCATATATTTGTAACTGCATATTAAAGGGCAGGACATATCATTTGGATGGGAAAAATTAGCAAATTCTCGAATTTATTGCAAGTAACAACAAACGCCAACTGTTTCAATAAAAGGCTGCCGCTAGGATGTGAAAATGTCCTTGATTAACACAGCAATGACTGAATCACTCCTGATTTTAAAATAAAGTACAAGTATTTATTTTAAGAAAGGATCAGCTTCCTGAACTACTAACAATGCACAACCCTGGCGATTGCCAGTCCGCTGTGGGTTCTAGTAATTGTATCACCAACACACATTTCGATGAATTCTAACAAATATTTGTGGACATCTGACTAGCTGTCATGTGCCCATTCTCGTGGAGCTTCTGTTTTGCTGGAAAAGACATAAACATAAACAAATCTTACTGGGGAGCTCAAAGACCAGAAGGGAGTGAGGCAGGAGCGCAGGCGTGAAGGGGAGAGTGGGAGGTGGCTGCTAATCCTCGAGTAATCCTGGGCAGGTTACACAGTGCTCTAGAGGCACATGTGCCGTTCAGATCTTACTCTGAAACCTCGCTGTGCTACTGTGTTTAGACGATAATCCAACTGCCAAATGAGGGAGTGTCTCCCTTATATACATGTTTCTAAATAATATCAGTAAACTGATATTTAATCATTTTCACTAGATCATTATATTTTATTGAGATTTTTTATTTTTATCTCATAGGCATCTGGATTAGAATTTATGATTCTAGAAAATCTCATTTTGAAGTATTTGACAGACCTTTTAAATAACCCTATGATAACTTTCATCTTAAATTTACTTCCTTATAAGATCTTGTCCAGTGCAAATTAAGATCAATGTTGCAAACTGTAGTTCCACAATGCAACGTAACTTATTGGCCTTTGGAGCCAGATAAACTTGGCTGTGAATTCTGACTCCTTCCACCCACTGTTGTGTACTCCTGGGCCCATCGTGTGGCATCTCAGTCTTTACGTTTCTCCATATGTGAAAGAGAGGGTATAACAGTATGTATCTCACAGGACTGTGAGGTGCAGAGTCAATGAAATAATGCCTGTGGAGGACTTAAGCCACTGCCTACACTTTATACATTTTTTATAACGCCACCTACTACTCTTATCATTATTACCAAAATCTGTTAGTGTTCATTAGCCAACAAAGAGAAATGTCCTCAAATTGTCAGTTGTGAAAGAATTTTCAGAAGGAAGAAATAGGATTATCATGTCAAAGGTGTGTGCTTGGAGCTATGTATATATTATGAAAGCCTGTATCACAAACTAACCTGACAGCAGAAAAACATAAGAATTAATTCATCTGAGTACATATCTGGTACTTTAATAACAAGCTTAAATTGAGATAAGGAAATTTATTGTTGAGTTGTATACTTCCCGGATTGCCATTAGAGTCAAGTTTTAATTTAAGTATTCAATAGCAGTTGGCAAATCCCGAGATCACAAGATCCTCAGTGAAAAATCAGCAACCGAAAGGCATTTCCATTGCTTTCAAAAATGTTGCTACAGAGAGATCCTGACGCAATTCCTGGGGTCTGCCAATGACCTTTGTGGTCAGCCATCTTAATGAAAGACAGTAAGGTTTCTGGAAATGTATCATGGGACTCCGAATATTATGATTAACGGAACCACCAAGTGTTTATCTAATATGCAAACATGGGCCTGGTGTCCCAAAATGCCCCATTCCAACCTGGCTGATGTCTGAAACACCAGAATCACACTGCGCATATGAAAACAATAAAACTGAACATAAAAAGTATTTGTTAATTGGAATATTTAATAAAGTTTGAATTTGTGGGTTTTATTATGTTTAAAATATATTATTTAAAACAAATGTGTTTTAAACAAATATTTATTTAAAATAAATATTCCCAGCTTTGGGAAAGCTCAGTTAAGAAAATCCAAGAATCACATGAGAACCAATGACTTTTTGGCAGGGGAAAAAATACTTTCTATAGCAATATGTCAGAATTCTATAATAAGTATTGCCTATAAATCGAGCATACGAGGTCATGATAAAAAAAAAAAAAGAATGCTGTAGTAAGAGAGATGGCAATGAGGAAAACACTAGATTGTTCATTATTGATGAAATTAGAGATAAACAAAGCAGAGTTTCTAGACTCACACCTGTTTTTAAAGAGGGACAACATTAAGTGATCTAACATAGGTGTAAATTAAGTTTCAGTAGAAAATATAAAAAGAAATGGACAGGTAAAATTTTGAGAAAAGAAACATTAAAATTTGTTCAAATATGGTGAGAATATTCAAGAATCTTGGCAAACTCCAAGCAGAATAAATACAAAGAAAATCACATGTAGGAACATCCTCAACTTATCATACTGTATAGTATACTGAAAATCAAAGATAAGGAGAAAAATCTTGAAAGTAGTAGAGAAAAATGATACACTGCATTCAGAGACACAAAGATAAGAAATACGGTTGACATTTCAT